TTCATTTTCCTGGCCTTAACAAAGCTAGTTTGTGATTAGCATTAAATCTGTTAAATGCAGCTGAATGTAACATATTGAAACGACTATCACCCGCTATCTGTAATCACACATTCATAGCTAGAGTTGTGTTTTTTTTAAGGGGTGTAAGTCATCGATTGACTTCACCCGCCTGAGTGAGGCGGAAGGGAGTATCAGACTCTTATTAACTAAAAACCACCCCGTTCCTACTCCTGCACTTCGGGCCGGAGCCCCGGTAACCCGTTAGGTTCTCCGCGGCTCCAGAGTTGTGTGTTGGGTCTATATTTAGATTATTTAACGTCTTGTAGCATTGTTTTTATAATAACTATCGTGATACATGCTAAATTAATTAAAATTGCGATATACTCACTTGAATATACTGAGAAAAGCTCTACTAGTTTCGAAGCACACAGGGGTTCTTCTTCATGAGTAGCGTGCGCGGTCGCGGCGACGTCGCGCAGCTCACTGAGCTTACTTACTCAAGTGAGCTCAATGTGAGTAACCCGCGATTTTAGTCAATTCTTGTAGCATTGTTTATGTCTAATGCGGGAACCGCAACGGACAAACCGAACCCGCCACGCAAGCATGACGCGGTACAAAAAGCTATCAGAGCTAATTGTGTGCCAACCAAAAGAAAATTTCGATGGAAAGAACTGATCGCCCCTACGATAAGGGCCCATTATAGAAAACTTGGAGTGCTCCAATGAAACTTGTGCATACGCCCATATATTTAACAAGTCTTAACGAGTTCGCTTTTTTTATTTTATTTTCGCGTGATTGTATTTAGGTGAGTTGGTTTCGACAAGTTTACACCAATTTCGTTCGAGTAATAATAGTTATTTTGGAAAGAACAACGGTTGTTAAATTAGGTTATATTTTGAGTTGTAAGAAAATGAGTTTTTATTGGGTGGTTTGGTCCTTTTTATGATAATGTCTTATTTGTACATGGGAATGTTTTGAAGGTTGTTTGGTCAAGGCTAAGTTGATTAGTCACAAAAATCGAAATCGAAAGGTTATTTGGTTTAGTAGTGGTATGTCGGGTAAGAGGTCATGGCTAGTAGTGTTGATATTGTTAAACAGTTTATTTTGTACCTTTTTATTATATTTTTAAATAATTAAAGATAAATTAAAGATATCACGTCGGGGTCACCACTTTTGAGAAATGTGATTAGTGGGAATAGATAATCTGGATAATTGAAATAAATACATATATAAGACGTGTTCACTAAAACTGCATATATTTGCGACTGGCTTACGTGGCGGGCGCAGCCGCCTCTAAGCATGCACACATACATAGCGTATATATTATTCCTGCGCACATACATATATGTTGTCCCTACAGTGTGTGTTATATAATTTCCAAGCAGACACAACGCCAATTTTTTTCTATTTTTTTTTTATTCCTTGATAATATGAATTCGTTTTATGGTGGTGGTTATACATGATTAGTAGTGTTGTAGTTTGGCAAGTCACAAACTCAACACAACTTTTCCGTTTTTATTACATTTAAGATAACATCATTATGTACAAATAAGTTTCAATTTACTTTGAACGTCAGCTATGTCCTTTTAGTTGTAGGTAGACGAAACCAATGTAAGTTTTGTTATTAGAATATATGTATTTTGTTGTGTGTTTTTTTACAGTACAATTAGTTTTTACAAGTGAAACAAGTGAAACAAGTGAATTTATTTCTGCAAATAGGCTACAAGGCAGCACTTTTACACGTCAATTTTATCAAGCGAACGATGAGGTCGACATTTCCTAACTGACTACTCTGAGAAGAAATGCCGAAACAAACTCAGAGGTCTGTCTCTTTTAAAGTCCAGACAATATGTATAACAGATTATGTGTGAGAACCGTGCCAGTTCTTTCTGTAGTGGGCTTTTGAGGAAAGAACCACAACAGTTTGAGCGGACCCGTTCTGAAGGCAGTACGCATGTGTCGGTTTACAGTCAGCTCAATTAACAGGTGAGGCTGACTGATTCGACGAACAATACCAACCTAAAGAACATTTGCGTGGGTCGCACAAATACTCAAACTGTCAGAAAAAGGGTAATTAGAAAAGAAATGGTGAGGCAAAGTCTCGCACGGTCCTAGCACTAACAATTGTTAAATAAAAAGTAAATGTCAAGTTAGAACAACATATGAAAAACAATGTCACATTAAAACAATAATGTCAAATTGCATATAAAAAAAGAAATGTAACTATATGTTACAAACATGTCAACATGACCTGTGTGGACGTTACAGCAGCTTATTCCCAAGCCAGACTATCATCTAGGTAGTCTTTTATTTTACGGTATGGTACATATTAAAAAAATCATCATACAAATAAAATATAGTTAAATTAAATATAGTATATATAAGTTAATTTAAATATAGTTAAAAATTTTTCTACTTGTAAGCCGTATCACTAGACTGTTAATAGTTTAATGTTTGTTAACGAAACACTGTCTAACACGTTGTTAAAGAATAAAATAAGTTGTGATTAAAGGTTACAATCTCTGGATGACTGAGGTGTTCTTGGTGATTTTTTAGTACATACATATTTTTTTAAAAGAAAATACAGGTACTTATAGTTTATTCGATGAAACTTTAAAATGAAAACAACTGGCCACTTATAACAAAAAAATACAATTTTAAAAATCGAACAACAGTTTTTTTGAACGTGATCTCATTGGCGCCATGTCTATGAAACAAAGAAGTTAAGTAATTTGTCTCAAAGAGAAATATTTAATTACTTACCGACCGCTGTACTTGCTAATTTTCACAAAGTTTTACAATAATGAAACATGAACTTTAAACTCATAAACATTAAATACATATTAACTAAATAATGTATTGTTAGATAAATGGCATGGTATGCTATAGAAGACTTACTTATAATCCGCTCAATTGAAATCTAGTTACTATGTAGATACTACAAACTTATTGACCCAATTAGTGTATTTCCTCGCTGTAACACGTTTGTTTAAACTAGATTGTTAAATTACTGCATACTTAATTAAAGTTAGCGGTTTTTTGTAGTTATTCTGTTATATTGTGAATTAAATGCGTATAAAAATTCAATTTAATAGAGAATATTTCTTATAAAATTTATTTGCTCTTTATGTTTTAGGTACGATTTTTTTTAACAATTGCCTGGGCACTTACTTTTGAAACCAATCTCAATCTCAATGCAATTTCAATCCAATAAAATCTCAATAATTATTCAATGTCAAAACTATACAACCCCTACCGTAGCTGTTAAAATAGCATTCAGAGTACAGAATATAAAGCCAAACTGAATACCATTTAGTTCATTTAATATTCACGCAATACAGATGCAATGGGCGCTAGTGTTGCGACTCAAGAGTACAAAATTTTACAATACCAATATAGATCGATCGAAATTGGATTCAAGAGTAAGCCCCCTGTTCGATTAGGTTATTCGACTCGTTTCAAACCGTACCAGGGCTTATAATAATGAGCAACACGTGCGAAAACTTTCGAGGCAGCAATTAAAAATATTACATATTTGAAACAGTAAATAACACACTGAGAATACCAACGGAACTTCAGTTTAGCTATTATATTCTAACTTGCACCATCCTCAGAACTCGCATGATACAAAATGAAACAACCCCAAAGTAACCAAGAATCAGTAACTTAATGATTGACATTTTAATAATTAAACGAAAGTAATTATCAGGGAATGATGGTTGCGTGTCATCGTGATTGATGACTTACTCGCTATCAGTTGTCATCGGTCCAACATAATTTTGTTTTGATGTTCACGAAGTTGGAGTCTCGTCATCAACCTTTATTATTAGTTTTGGTTTGTTGTTACCACCATGTAGTATGGAGTTATTTTTTTGATGTTTATTAGAAAATTGATGGCTGTCTTCTTGGGAGTGATTGGTCTATTTTGTAATGGATGTGTTATTCTTTTTCGGTGTGACTGGTCAATTTAGATTTTTGGTTATCAAATTACTGATGCTCATTTGAGAAGATATCTTTTTATCTTGTAGGTGTGTAAATACTGCTGAACTCTTCTGCACCTTACATGACTGATTGCTAGGCTGATTATCTACGTAAGCTATCTTATATATATTTAGCTATATTATCTATTACTGTAAGCTTCACTTAGAATAATTTTCTTCCTATTTTTTCCACATTTTCTGTAATAAATCCCATCTTCAAAAACAACGTTCTTTCCCAAATTTTTTAATCCCACATTTTTCTCTTGATCATTTCTTATGTCATCAATATCAATAATATTAACTGTTCTTAATATATCATCATTATTTTCATTAACCTCCAATACTGGGTTTCTGCTGAGACAATCTGCTTCAGTATTATTATTTCCAGGGTTATATTTTATTTCACAATTATATTGTGACAAATAGTGTGACATGTCTCCTAATTCATCATCAGGTCTATTTCTGATATTTAACTTCTCAAGGGGTTTATGATCTGTATAGATAGTGAAATGGTTTCCAATCAACCAATGTTGCCAAAACTTTATACTCTCTCTAATTGCTAAACATTCTAAAAATATAGCTTTTTTATGTTTCTGTGATTCATTAATTTTTTTGGAAAAGTATGCTACGGGTTTTTCTTCACCATTTAGCTGAATTTGTTTCAAGACTGCTCCTATTCCAATGGAACTGGCATCTGTATAAATAAATATCGGTGCTTGTGGATCGTAAATGGCCAGTATTGGTTTTGAACATATATAATCTTTCATTTTCCGGAAAGCATCCTCACACTGTTCTGTCCAATTGAATTTCTGATCTTTTCTCAGCAATTTATGGAGTGGATCAAGAACTACTGAGACATTTGGAATATATTTTCCATAAAAGTTAATTTTCCCCAAAAATTGTCGTATTTGCTTTCTATTTTGAGGAGTAGGGAAATTTTTTATTGAAATTAAATTATCATTTAGAGGTGTAATTGTATTATTCTGTAATATATGACCCAAATACTTAACAGAATCATGTGCAAACTTACATTTTGTTAATTTTAGTCGGAAGCCTTCTTCTCTAATAGCATCCAGCAACTTTTTTATATGTGTGATATGTTCCTCAAATGTTTTAGAAAATATCAATATGTCATCGATGAAATTCACTGCAAATCCTGTCAGACCATGTTTTCTCATAATATTTCCCAAAATCCGTTGAAATATGGCTGGAGATGTCTTCAGTCCGAAGGGTAAGCAAGTCCATTGGTAATGACCTTCCTGAGTTACAAAACCAGTTTTGTATCGATCCGTTATTTTCAAAGGAATGGACCAAAATGCTGAATTTATGTCCATGGTTGTAAAATAATTACAATTTATTGTTTTAGTTAGTAGGTCTTCTATTAGTGGAAATGGTTGTGATTGAGGTATAATTATTTTATTTAAATCTCTGAAATCTATGCATAGTCTACTTCTTTTTCCTTCATCTCTTTTAAAAGCTAAAGTAACCGGTGCGGCAAAAGGACTATAAGATTCCTCAATTAATCCGTGTTTTAATAGCTGTGAAATTTGATTTTCTATTTCGATCTTATCTTGAACTGAACATCTATATGGTCTTTTATAACAATACTTTTCAATTTGCAAATCTATACAGGCTTCATACATTTTTACTTTTCCAGTGTCATATTTGTTCCTTGCAAATATTTCAGAGTAATTCTCCAATAACATATTTATCTGTTTCCTTTGTTCAGTGTTTAAGAATCTTGTATCTATATTAAATTGGTTTGTATCTATACCTTCATTGAAGTTTACTGCATACTCTTTTCCTTCTATATTTATTTCCATATTATTAGTTTGTGTATTTTCATCTTCATTGCTACTTATTTTAGAATTGTTTGTTTTGTGTATCTGGATATTTAAATTCTCATCATGAGTCAACCCAAATGTATATATTGAATCTAATCCTAGTATTAAATCATAATTAAAATGTTCGTTTTCAAATATAAATGCATTTATTTTATTCTTTCTGTTTAATAATTCTGCATCCAGTGTAATTAAACCTTTAGTTTCTCCTCCTCCACTTATTGTTTTTATTGTTTTATAGCAGTTATTTGGTTTCTTATTTGCTATCTGAACTAATTTAGAATTAATTAATGTTATTCGTGAACCAGGATCATACAGCGCCTTGGCTTTTAATGTATTGTTTAACATTACTGTTATCTCAATTAGTGGAGGGAGATTTAGTTTTTTTGGTCTTCATTATTGAGTTCAACTTCCAGTATTGAATTAGAATTAAATGATTTTTTGTCAGTTATTTTATTATTACGGCTGTACCAGCAAACATTCTCGGGGTGAAATCTATTAAATTTTCCATTATTTTCACAAATCTTGCAGGACTTTTTTCCAGTTTGTTTTATTTCTGGTTTAATGTATGTATTTCCTGTGCTTTGGGTTTTCTTCGTATCATATTTTCTTGCAAAAGTTTCTAGTCCTCTTATACAGTTAAATAAGTCATTCACTTCTTTAAGGCTTTCTCTGTCTATTTTATCCATTATGAAATTTGGTAGACCAGTGGCAATCAAGTAAATTAGAGTTTTCTTATCTATTGATTTGTTAGTTTCTAGTAATAGTCTCTCTTTTTTTAGAGCGTATTCTAACATTGATCCTTGTATGTATTTAAAATTAATAGCATATCGGATTGGTAACCAACCTTTATCGGCAAATGCTTCACATAAACTCTTCTTCCATACAGACCACTCCGAATCAATTGTATATTTTATAATCATGGAGGTGTACCAATCCAAACACGTATCTTCTAATAGTAATCTTAGCATTTCTATCTTTCGTAAATCTGTATCTATTTGTAAGCGCGCACATTCACTTTCATAAGTATCTAACCATTGTTGAACATTTGTTGTATTTCTTGAAAACTTCTGTATTGAAAATTCTGCTAATAGTTTTGTTTTATTTCCTATTTTCTTCGACAATGACTCTGTCGATGACGACTCTTGACTTGGTTCTAATTTTTCAAGCAAATACCCATCAAATTGTATGTTGCCATCATCCAAGTATGTACTTTTCATATCCTTAGTTAATGTAATCCAAACCTGTCTCTTATCATGCCTTTTTTGGAGAGATTTCTTTATTTTGTCAAATATTTCATGTTTCATTATTTCTTTGTGTAACTGCACCGATTGATATTCTCGAGGCATAATATAAGTTTGGCCTTGTGTATCCGTGATAGTAGTTATGGCATAAATATTGGTTTTATTATCATCCGGCTTCGCTTTCACGATGAATTCAAATTGTAATTTCTCCATTACGTATGTTTATAATACTTGTATTTATCTTCAAACGTGACCAAAATTGTCGATTTATAAGATGAGGATTCGAGACAGCAATGAAATAATTTGATTCATCTATAACAATAGAGTTTTATTTCAATAAAATAACAATATTTTAATAAAAAATAATAAACTAAGCAACCTCGGAATACAAACCTATAACAATAGAGAATCGACAATTAATTGTCACTGCTTTAGCCCGTCGATCCTCACTTAAATTCTTTAAAATAAATAACTAAAATAACAATCCTATATTATCGAAATAAAATTAATTCTTTACAATATTTCAAATTGTAGCTACAACATTTTTAGACGTTTGTCTTATGACACGTATGTCACCTTATCCAAAGACAATGCAAAGCATGGAGGCTTTCATACGTAATTCGTTAATTGCCGATTGTATAACGATTGCAAGACAAATACTTGCATCGTGCTTAGAAACAATCAAAACTGTGTCTCACTTACTCATAGGATGCATGCATTCGACAAGTGACGCGTCATGGACAGTAAGCCTTAATGATTTAGGCTTAAAATCAGCTATAAATTAATTTACAGTTACTTTGTAATTAAGTACAAAGTCCAGTCTATGTCTAATGTAATTTCTTAATCTAGTTTGATTATTCTTACCTGTTTCCATACTCTCTCTGTCTCAAACTCAAACAACAAAGGGCAACAAACAAAGTAAATCTTCTAAGATAATATACAGCGTCTCCACTCTAAAGTAGATTTGCACGAATTCATGAAGCCCTCAACAAATAGAAGAAGACTAGTAACAATAACAAACGATATTTCCTCTGTAGTCGCGTGCAATGGCGGCGCGAATCTGTTTTCTCTCAATGATTTGTCTCCAAAACGTACCGAATCTCTGCTGGGCGCCAGCCAAATGTGCAATTTATACAAACATATCTACGTCATCAAGCACACCTTTATTTTCTTCTTCATAAAGTGCATTGTCTGTTGTTTGTTCTGCATCAACAAGTTTGTAAGTATGTAGCTTGAATTCCGTTGGGCTGCTAGGTTAGAGGCAGTCGAGCCACTCGACTCTCCCGTGATCCTTCCATGAAAATAATATTTTATTATTGTCATAATATCTGTTTGGATGGGCTTTGTTGATGTTTACTTAGTTTTGAGTATTCTAAATTAGCCTCCGGGCTAGTTATTGGGTGTTTTGTATAATTTATGGGGAATTGCTTTGAGTTTCGTGGTTTTTGCAATTTGACCGTAATGTCTATAGATAATAATTCCAATGATTTAAATCACTGAATACTTTAGTTAGCTTATGGGTTTGTTTATAATTTATATCGCATCTATATTTTGTATCTACGAATTGATTCATGGTCATGGGCCCCCAGTATAATTTTTTTTTTTACTTACTTTGTAATTTATCTAACATAAGGACATAAATAAAATTAATATTAACTATTACTAAATGAAAATATATACAACTTAAAATTGATGGTGGGTGGGTGGGTACATTGTACAGTGGTATAATGTGCACCTCTGCCTACCCCTTCGGGGATAAAAGGCGTGATGTTATGTATGTATGTACAACTTAAAATATAAATAACAATGAATTGAAATATTTACACCTTAAAAAAATAATAATAAAAATGCTATCATAAGACATCAAAAATTTTTTTTTCTTATTAAAAATTATAATTTTTTCTGCAAAAATAATCTGTGGTGACCGCCTGGCTAATTATTACAAGTGAAAGCTATACTTAACACTACCGAGAAGAAGTAGGCTCGCATTCGGAGGACGGATGCGGCGCCTGCGGTGCCTAGTGTACTGGCGTCGCGCAGCAGTGCACGCCTTGCGTAACGCCGCCAGCTCCTGCGACCACCAGTACACCTGGCGCTTTTGTTGACTCGACCGGATCCGGGGCATCGCCACGTCACAAATCCTGGACATGGCGTCCTGGAGCCACTTAGCCTCATCGTCGATGTCGGCAGGCCTGACCGGTGGTATCACCCAGGCCCGCACGATAGCGGCTTCCAGGAGCAGCTCAGAGTAGACTTTCAGAGTATCGAAGTTTTTATTTATTGTGACAAATTGTTTCATTGAATAAATTTAAACTTGCGATCCGTTCCTACCACAGTCTTTTTTTAGTATCTGATATTATTAATTAATAAAAAAAAAGTATGACTGAGGTGTTTGAGAAAATAATACTCGTCCTATTTTTTAAAATAAAAATATAATTTGTATTTATTAGACTTCATTCATAGTTTTCATATTTCATGCAAGAAAGGATTCCGAATTGGTTAATGTTTAAAAAAGTGCAAAGTTTATTTTTAGGTGTTTTAGAGATCTATGTCCTGGTTGACTAATATATTATTAAGTGGATCAGTAGCGGTAGCACGAAGTGTCAACGTTTTTAATATCAAGAGAAGAGAGTGAGAGTTAGTTAAGGACCCATGCTGAACTGGACCCATTTCACGGCAGACTTGGGATATGAACATGTGTCCATCAGTACCTACTAATAGAATCAAGTGACATGAACACATCTGTTCATGTCACTTGTTTTTTAGCGTGAGTAATAAAGGTTTTCTTTCTTCTGTCTTTAGTATACCTACAGTAAGTTTATACTAATTAATAAAAATAATACAAAACCGACCTCGCTTCCATCATTATCGTTGTTTTATTAGGCACTTCGCCCGTTCAAAACTTCTCGTTCAAACAAAACATAAAACACTGAGGGCAGTATTTCACACGTCATTAACAAAGTTGTCGTTTCTAAAGTTATTTACTATGTTTTCAACATGCAACTGGAAAAAGCACTAATGAGCCTATTCGAATTCTTTCATCGCATTACGTGGAAAAATGAAGTCATTTCATGAGGAGGCCTGGGGGTGAACCGAACCACCCTGCATTTTTGCACGACCACAAAATGTCTAGTATTTCAGAACACCAGGTCTAATATAAAGTTGGGCATCATTTGACTGTACGAAGTTGCCTCTAAATGTTTGAAAGGGGAACCCATTTCAGTCGAAATGCAGCTTAATTAAAGTTTAGCCGTGCTGTTGAGAGGGAATGGCCCGCCCTCATAATTTATTCCTGCGGGATATAATTCGGACGGATTTAGTAACAAACGCGCCAACGAAAACGTTTAGGGTTTATCCAGATTTCTATATAAACATGCTTTGAAGGGCCTAGTGGACAGCGATCGAAATTAGATTGAAAGTCGTTGTACATAAAGTTTAATTTTCAAGCGGAAATTCGTTGAGGCTACAGCCTTTATTTTTGCTTGGAAACGGATCCGCATTTTTCACAATTACTTGGACGTTTCCACGTAAATCTATCTTCTTTGTCTCGCGGTTGGATTTCATTTAAGGAACAAATCGCAGCATTGACTCCCTTTTGTATTAAATTCAGAGCTATCACTGGCAATTATTCTTAGCTTTAACTCTTCAATGACTTAGCCATTAGACGTTCAAATAATTGATTTCTTTAGTTTGTTTTTAGGAGAGAAAATGTTAGTTAGGTACTTTGTCACAATAATTTTCTTTCTTATTGTTCAGTCTATTAATAGAGAAGTAATTTTGATAAAACGATAAAGTAACTATTCGCTATAAATTTTAGTTCACTAATCGCACACAGTCTAAAACTTGCGATTCGGTAATTCTGTCTCGAGATTTGGATAAAGCAAATAAAATATACTCACAATATTTGTTCTGTACCGTAAGCTGATGATGATCTAGATCATTTCTTTTTTTTAAAAAAAAAAAACGTTGCCCTACACTAGGATTATCTCCTGTCTCGTGGGTGCGTTTACAAACATACAAGTTCACATACACATGACACCTAGACCCGAAACAACAATTTGTGGATCACACAAAGTGTTGTTCCGTGAGGGAATCGAACCCGCGACACGTTGCACGGCAACCGATTGCCCAGCCACCGCACCAACCGTGTAGTCATATTTAGGAGTCACACTTAGTACTTCAGTAAGATAAAACGCATAGACCCGTTAAACAATGTATCTAACTTCGTATAGAACAGTTACAACTTTGCAAATAACAATTAAGATAGATAAATAGCTTGATCTTGGCCAGAGGCTAAGCACAAAAGATAGTTGATAACTTGTTAAAACTTTGAAATAAGATTAATTCTCTCATGAAGTTATTATTATAGTGAAATTGAGTAGCCCGAGCGGTGAGTGATGTTCGTGGATATACATTGAAAAGCCAGTATTGTACACTATACAGTCTTGCTCAAGGACCTCAAAGTAAATGAAAATCATTAAATCTAGCAAGCTAAATGCATCAAGAAGGCTTTCTATGTATATTTATGTGTATTTGTAGTACATAATTTAAAGTTCGGGCTATTGAATAGTGTCAAACTAAATATCATTTTCGTCGACACTGATATCGTGAACCGAGGCCCTCTGTATGGCACTTGCACTGACCATCTACTTAATAAACGTTGTTTGTCTATTGGATGCACATACATAATATAACATCACGCCTTTAATCCCAGAAGGGGTAGGCAGAGGTGCATATTATGCCACTTAATGCCATTGTACAATGTAACACCCACTTTTCACTATTTATGTTATGAGTCCCATGTAATAGGGGGTGAGCCTATTGCCATATACCAGGCACAATTCCAGACTCCGTGCTACCGCTGAGAATTTTTAAAAACCCAGTAATAAATTGCCCGGGAGTCGAACCCGAGACTCCTTGCCCGGCCACTCGGTTAACGAGGCAGTTATGTCTAGTCCATTTGATTCATTAAAAACCTATAAGGCTTATAAAAATTGTCTAGTGCTACAGTAAAAATAACTTAGTATTACAAAGTTAAACTAGAATGACTGTAAAGAAATCTGATCGCACTGAAGTTCAGAACATCTCACAAGTTGTTAGCAGATTTTTATTCCTTCGGACAGACGTCTTTAATTAACGACTTAATTAAAAATGTAATTGCCATAAAAAAGAAGAAGGGGTCTTAAGATTATACTTAATACTTTTTTATATTTTATCGTGTTATTTTAAGGTTTCGAATTGAACGGAAAAAAAAATCGTACAAAATTAGAAAATTATACATTGTCTCCTAATTTTTAAATACGTTATTATTATCAGTATTAAGTAAACTAATGTCTTGTTCCAGATTATGATCTATCTTACTAAAAAGTTTCATCTAAATCCGTTCAGTAGTTTTTGCGTGAAAGAGTAATAAACATTCATCATCTACACATCTTGTGCGATAGATAGAATCAAATTTTGTGTC